GGAGGGGCCCGTCGCCCTCCCGTCTCTCCGATGAGCGCTAAAATGGATCCCTTGCGGCCGTTAAATATCCCCTGGCATTTTCCACGAGCAGAGGGATATTAAACTCCATGTCTTAGCCAAATGTCAGTCTAGGTAATTTAATTCTGCCTCCCTAAGTAGTATGAATTGAGCTGACCTTCTGCCTAGGCAACTGTACACTCGTGTTCAGAGACTCTGAATTTTGTACAGACACGGGCATGTTTGTCCTCATGCAGCCCCTCCAAGACGCTCTGTGTCTTAATTGCCCCAGAGCCAGAGGCTGGGAGCATCAAATGACCTTCCCATGGTCACACAAGGGATGGGTGGCAGACCTGGGGAAGGCACCCATGGCTGCAAGGCTCCATCCAAGGCTGCCGTCCTCCTTCTAATGCTGTGCATCTTGTCCTCCTAATTTGCCCCAGGCTTACACTAGGAGAAAGGCAATGAGGTGGGATGCGGGTGTTGCAGCGTGGTGGTGATGTCCCTGCCTTCCTGGGAGACACATGCACCAGCTACCTGGTTCTTGGGCTGAAACACAAGCGAGGAAGGTGGGGTTGTGTCCTGGAGGGCCACAAATGTCCCCATGCTGTCCCAGCCATCCCGAGGGAGGTGGCAGCTCCTGACACACCACCTCTGGGATGTGTCCTCCCTGGCACCCTCCTCTGCCTCCAGGCCCTCTCCCACCTCATCCTGCCTTGGGCTGGAGCCCTGATGTCTGCAGGGCTTTGCAAAACCTTGCCCTCCCCATGCTCGCCTTTATTAATATTGATACCTTTGCACAAGACGTAATTATGAAAACAATTTCCAGGAGCAAGATGAGGAGGAAGGCAGCCTGGATCTCCTACCGATGAGAGATGGGGGTCAGAGGGCTGGAAAAGCTTTTCCAGTCATCGTTGAAAATGACAATGCAGAGTGACCCCTCGCAGCTGGCTGCTTATAACCAGCACGGCACGACCGCCAGCAAGGCATGGGCTCGGGACAGCAAAAGAAAGTACCAGTCATTTTCCACTCAATTAGAGCCCATCTTCTAGGCAGCTGGGGAAGGGATTTTCTGCTGGGGGCTCCAGGGAGGGAGGAAGGAGAGAGGAAGCAGAACCAGAGGAGGTCATGCCTTCCCAGGGGGATTTTTGTGTTTGCCCAGGCTGGGTGGGTGGTCTGTCCCAGCAGTGGGTCTGCTCCTGGCTCAGACGGTGCCAGCAGGGAGAGCTGCCAGCCCTGCACTGCTCTCGTGTTGGCTCCCGGCTGCTCCGTCCCCGGCAGGGCACGGGAGCAGGGCTTCATGTCTGGGGCTTAACCTCCATGCAGAAGGTGTGATGGTTTTCTCTAGGCTAAGGAGAAAACACAAGGCAGGCTCTGACATTCCCAGCCCTGGGATTTTAGAAGAAGCGTCATGCAGTCACTCGTTGACACTGTCTCTCCCTTTCCGCAGGATGCGT